CGAGCATCCGGGAGACAGCAAACTGTCCGGTTGAGCCGATCAGAGCGGCAGATTGCCCTATCTGCTCTCCTAATGATAGAGTCCCCTACCACCACAACCTGTCTTGCCTTCCTTACATTTTGATCCCCACCCGTACTAGGGGGGCTGTTAGCTCGGCTGTTAGAAGTAACAGCTTCCTCTAATACAGCTACTCCTGAGCTGATGCTCCCAACATCTTCCCTCAAACGGGCAAATCTGCTAGGTTGCACCAAATCAGGACTAGCTAGCCCTTTCCTCTTCCCTCCCCCCCTGCTTCCTCGCCCCACTGTCACACAGCTACATGCCTCTTCCCCCTTCTGTCTTATCTCCTCCCTCTCCACTACCTGTCTCCACTAAACTCTGCTCAGTGAGCAGTAGACTCCTCTCAAGATTGTCAATCTCCCTCAAAGTTGCGATTTGCTTCTCGAGATCTCCAATCTGAGCTTCCAGAGAAGCCACTCGCACACAACCATCACAGAGGTATGGACCCTGGACGGGTACATCCAGGCATCCATACATGCAACAAGATGTGCATTGAGTTAAACCAGCAATCTTGCTAACACTCATATCCCCTTTAAACAGAAAATAAAAACAATTACCTTGATAGTTTAAACCCCTTGTTAGTTTGAACTCCTGGTTTTCTAACTCCTACTTGAAAGAGTCTACTTAATAGAGGCTGCTTTCAAGTAATGTGAGCAAGCTCAGTGAGTTAGGGGTGTGCCTTTATGGGGATACAAATCCCACACAGGTGCAATTAATGAACACTCCCCCAATCAATCAAGCAGCAGCACAAAAAAGGGGGGAAAACCAGAACACACAAAAAAAAAGAAAATGTAAAAAACAAAAATTCTTTTTTTTTATTTTTTAAAACCTTACCAATTTTAACGATTAAATAAAAATAAAATACAAACCACTCTCCACAGTATACAAATCACTCCAAGTAACTCCTACTTGAAAGAGTCTACTTAATAGAGGCTGCTTTCAAGTAATGTGAGTAATGTGAGGTTTGTTGTACAGTGCTCTGATCCACGTGAGGAGCCTATGTCCCACTCCCATTTTGTTTAGGGTTGCTAGCATGTAGGGCCACCTTACCCGATCGAACGCCTTTTCGGCGTCCGTGGAGAGGAGAAGGAGGTGCTGTCGTGATTTCCTCGCCCTATGTTGTATCGCGAACGTCCGTAAGGTGCTGTCTTGCGCCTCCCGTCCTGGTATAAATCCGGTTTGGTCTACGTGTATCAGAGCTGGTAGGATGGATTGGAGCCTAGTCGCCAGAACCTTTGTGGACAGTTTAGTATCCACGTTCAACAAGGAGATAGGGCGATAGTTGCCACACTCTGTCGGATCCCTCCCAGGGTTCGGCAGGACAGTTATTATGGCTGCTAAGGACCCTGCCCCAAGGTCCCCTCCGTCTGTGAGTTTGTTGATGGCTTTCGTTAACCACGGCAACAATATTGATGAAAAGGTTTTGTAGTACCCTGTGGAGAAGCCAGCCGGGCCTGGTGCTTTGCCCATTTTGGTCTATTTCAGGGCTGCTATGATGTCTTCTGTTGTAATCGGGGTGTCCAATGCTTCCGCCTCTTCTGGGCTGATCGTAGTTGTGACAGCCTCCTCCAGGTATTCCTGTATTCGAGTGCTTTCCATGTCCACCGTGTCTCGTCTATCTTGTGCGTGTATGTTATAGAGTGTTTGATAGTATTCCCTAAATTCCTCTGCTATTTTGTTCGGAAGATTTGACATGACACACGATGAGAGGCGCAGGTTACGTACCTGTGTGTGTGGGGCGTTCCCCTTCAGAAGATGTGCCAAGTACCTACCCCCTTTGTTGGCGTGGGCGTAGAAGAACCCATTGGATCGCTGTAAGGATTGGAGGTAGCGTTACGTAAGGATGTCCTTCAGTCGCCTTCTGGCCTGCATTAGTTCCCCGTATGTCTCCATCAGTCGGGACCGCTTGTGTTGTTGCTCCAGTACCGAGATTGTTTTGTATAGGTCTGCCATCTCTCGCGTTGCTATCTTTTTCTTTTGGGAGGCGATTCGAATAAGCGTACCCCGGATAACACTTTTATGTGCTTCCCAAATCGAGATTGGGGAGGTCCCCTGCCCGTCATTGTCCTGAAAGTAGTGTTCCAGTGCCTGGGTGACCTGCTCGCGGACATCTGGGTCGAGAAGGAGAGCCTCAGTAAGCCTTCACATCCATTTAGGGAGCCGAAAGAGAGGTGATTCCAGTTCGATTTACTACCGAACCATGATCCAACCACGTTGCGGGGTCCATCCTGGCGGAAATCAGCCGCTGGAGGCCCACCTGTCGGACAAAGATGTAATCGATAAGAGAGTATCGATCGTGCAGTGCAGAATAGTATTTACATACTATACATACATACATGGTGGTGGGGTGGAGGGTCCTCCAGCAGTCCACAAGTTCCATGTCGCCGAGAGCCCTCTTCATGGAGCGTATATGGAGTTGTGAGATGCTGCTGTGACTCGTCGAGGAGTCCATGATGGGATCCAGCGGGACATTAAAATCTCCCCCCAGGATTAGGGTACCCTCTGAGAAGTTGCTTAGTTTATTCACCGCTCCCCTGAGGAATTGAGCCTGTCGTTTATTAGATAGGTATATATTGGCGAAGGTGTAAAACATGCCTGCAATGGTACCCTTCAAATATAGGAAATGACCCTGTACGTCCAGCAGGCTGTCCAGTCCCTGGAACTACAAGTCCGCCGCTATCAGGATGGCTACTCCTGTCTTTCGTGCCGTTGGATGATCACAAAAGTTGTTTGTCGGGTAGAATTTATTTTGCAGCTTGGGGGCAGCATCCTTTCTGAAGTGTGTTTCCTGTATCAATGCGACTTTCAGGTATATTTAACCCTCTACAGTTGAGGGTGAGGACAGACAGGGGGGCGGGGCGGTACGCATCAGCGCTCCTGCGTCCATCACTAATGTCCATTGCTTTATCTACTTCTGCCCCCCCCCACCCTACCTCCCCTCCTTCGCTCCAGGGGACCCCCGTGAGGGTCCCAACCTCCCGATTCGGGTCAGAAACTCAATAAAAGAATCAAGACCGGACCAGCCCAGGGATAAGGGAGGTGAGACTGAGCAGAATGATAAGAATTGGGGAGTGGAGAAAAAGGGGGATGAAAGAGGGAGAGAGAGAAAGAGAAAAGGAAAACAAAGAGTGAGTTGCCTGTTTCTGCAGGCACTGCAGCCGAGACTAGGGATGTCTCGATTATGCCACCTCCTCTGTGGAGGTGCCTCGTGCTGCGACAGAGTGCGCCGAGACCCCGCCCCGGTAACCAGACCAGGTGGCGGGGGCACCCAGGGCCCTGCCGTTCAAAGAGAAGCATGAGTGTGGTTTGAGGTGCGCGGTCCGACCCCGACCAACAGGATAAGTGTGAGTGGGTTCGTGGCTAGTCCTCCACACCTCCCCCCCTCCAATGCAGTTTACTAGTGTTATGTAGAGCAATCCATTTCAACATTTAACATGAATAAGTAACAGTGTAACAGGGTAAACATATTTACATCACATTAATATTGCTGCACCTCGGTCCACCCCCCCACCATCTCCCGAATACGGTCCCCTCACGTTCCAACCTTCTGTGACCTGGTTCCCCTCCCCTCACCTCATTCTCCTCCCCCCTACCATTGCCCTTTCTCCCTTTCCATCTCTCCATGCCCTGTTATCCGTGGGCGCTAACAGCCCAAGCTCCTACCCCTCCTCATCCCCTATATTGTTCCAGTTACCTGCCCCTAATCGTAGTGTGCACTCCATTGGGGTTCTATGGAAATAGGGTCCAGGGGTCTAGTGAGTGGGCTGTCGCAGTGCGATACTTATAGCGTTAGTCAGCCTGGGTGAGGGTCAACGGGGTGTTTGTCCATTATCAGGGGGTCTAGTGTTTAGCCATGTAAGGCTTATGATATTCAGGGTAGTGTGGGCATGGTCACCCCCGGAAGACCCATGTGGGTATTTATGTCGATTAGGCCATCGCCTAAGGTACTGTCCTAAATATAAACTACATGTCCTCATTGTGTGTCCACTATACCCTTATACCCCCCTCAGCCCGCTGCTTCGGTGTTGGCCCTTTGCTACATCATCTCGAGCTCCCTATTGTAACCCCGCCAGTGGTCAATATGCCCGGGGGTCACTAATAGGCAGTTCCCTATGTATCTACCTCCCACCCACCTTGTCCTCACCCCATCTGTGTAACCTACGTTTTGACGACATAGTCACTGAATATGCAAGGCATCAACAGTATAATTACTAGCAATGTATGGCATTATAAGGTGGTTAACATTGCTGGTAGTAGTGGAGGGAGAGTCCCCCCCTGTACCCCACAACCTGCTCAAAAGGTGGGGGAGTGCGATGACATGTTCAGGCTCTACTACTCATTGGGTCACAGGCCCCATACAAGCATTTACTGTCCCCATTGTCCCGACTGGGATGCGCAGGTCGATGGGGGCAAGGGATCGTAGATCGTCAGTCCCCAAACCCCGAGCCATTCGCCCACTGCATCTCCCAGGAGTGAGTTTATGCATGGGCAGTTCCTCCCAGGTACCCTCACCCAAAGCCCTGGTAACCAAGCATTTAATCCACGGGGCAGTCCATCCGAAACCCTCTCAGTGCACACACCTCTATAGATAGCGTCTCTCCTGGGCCCTCCCCACGGAGTGGCATTAGCTAGTTGGGTGGTTCATTCACTGCCTGTAGGGGAGTAGGCTGAGGCCCGTCCGGCTGAACTGCCGATTCCGTGCTGCATAATATTTTTTCAAATATTTAGTTTTTATTGAGTGTTTGTTCCAAAGTATAACAATCAGCTTGCATTTGTTTCCTATATAGGTCCGTGCTGCATAATATGGTACATGGAGCGCTTCTTATCCCCAGGTCATCCCCATGCCCACACCTCCCAAGAGAGTCTCATTATAGTCCCTCTAGGTGTCGCGGTGGAGGCCGCGTATGAGTAGGCCCATGTGCTGTCCAGGAGGGGTATATTCAGGTCAGGTGGGGTGAGGGGCCGAGTCTTTGTAGGGTAGTGAGGTACCTACTCCGCAGGGTTCCCAGGTCCGTGTCTTCGTCACTGGGGCGGCCGCCCCGGCAGGGAACCTCCTCCACGTCTGCGGGGTGCCCGTTGTTGTCGCGGTGCCGGTCCCAACTGGCCCAGTTGGCGACTGGAGTTGGCGGCAAGTTCAGCTCTTCAAGAAAATGTGGCACCTCTTCGGGCCATCTGGCCGCTATCCAGGTATCCTGATGGCGTGTCAGTAATGCAAATGGATATCCCCACTTATAGGCAATGTTACGGTCACGGAGCGCCACCGTCACCGTTCTAAGTGCCCGCCTGGCGTCGAGTGTGTACGGGGATAAGTTGTTGAAGAGGGATACTTGGGCTCCCTCTCTAGCTTTCTGCATAATTGCATCATTGATAGGGAATGAGTGGAGGCAGCATATCATGTCTCTAGGTCCCTCTTCGACAGTGTGTGTAGGGGGGGGTTAGGTTTAATGAGAGTTAGTGTGGGGGAGGTCTTACCTCAGTGCCACTTGGGATACGGGCCAGCAAACAGCTTCCCGCCCGCCCACCCCTTTGTAGTTTCAGTTAGTCACAGCAAGCCGGGGGTATGTCCTTGCCAATTAAGTTTGATGGGTTATGTTTAAGGATGGAGTAAGTTTTTATGTTTTGCAGGTCTCAACCTCCCCTGCTTCAAAAGGTTAAACATTAGGTTGCCTGAGGTGTCGTGCCCATCCAGCGTGGATAAGGTCGGCTGATGGCGGGAATTGGAAGGATTTTTTATGACGAGGGGGGAGGTGAGAGGAAGTGGTGATTAGGAACCACTGGATGTTTATTGGCAAGGACGGTTGGGCATCTGCATAGCACTATGTTTTAGTTATTATATGTATATATGTTAATTTATGATTATTTATTTATAACAATTTGGTTACAGAAAGAAGAGTTTAATAAATAAAGTTATGGATGTGTTATGCAGTAATTTATTTATGTTATAATAAATGCTGTGGCCTGTTCATCCATACTAAGTTGTCTGTCGTTATTGAGGGGGGAGGGGGGTTTATTGGGGTTATTTAAGTTTGTGGCATCGTTATTCCCCGCTATGTACATACATGCCCTGTTGTGGACCCGGTTGTGGGTCCCTCGGGTTTTGGGAATTTTCCGTGCGGCGGTTGCGACCCATTGGTACACTGCAGCGGAATATAGATCGCGTTCTGGGGCTTGGTGTGGCGGAGCTCAGAGATTAAGCGGCCATCTTGGTCAGTGTCTAGGCCACGCCCCCTTACACTTTTTTTTTTCCACCTGGCAATTTTAATTGTATTAGGGACTGGAATAACAGAAGGACATGGGGACATTTCAGACATACAACCCCACAATATTCCCAGCATGCATCACAGTTTCCTCCCCTCTGCTCGGGAGATAATTGAGAAGTAATTCAATTATCTCCCAGAGCAGAGGCAAATCACCATTTTAAGTACAAGTCATAAAACACATAAAAATACATAACTTTATAACTGCCGAACATATTACATTTGTGTAACACATCCCCAGTTAGCCTGGATCTGAGTACATATTATTGGCGAATAGCGCTCAGATCCCATACGCACAGTTCAATCACCATGGAGTCAAAGTCTATTACGGTTCTTCGGTATGCGATTGACTCCATGGGAAGGCTATCTGGGGGTAAATCCATTCGTGCCTTTAAATCTCCCGAACGGCCGGTGTTCGCACACTTCTGTCGATTGAGAAGGGAGGTCGACGGCTTCAGCGGTGTTCGGTTGAAAAAATGTCCGATTTCAGTTCCATTAAATAATCGAACACCGCTGGTCTTTCGCATGTTTAAAATGGCCGCCGCCTCGTGGTCGACATACGTACGACGACCACCCTGTATTCGGTTTTAATTGAGAAGTGTCTGTGGTTAACCGCAACGTTCTAATTGGGATCAATTGGTTAACCAGCAGCACACTTCTCTTCTGGGTGGCCGTCCGTTCGGTAGTTCCGTTCGACAGAAAAGTACATTCCCTTAAACAAGGCATACGAATGGGGAAATTCATACAAACGGCAAAACAGACGAACACAGCAATTCTAGTTCATATGGATGGGTCTGTCACAACCATGAGAGGACAGTGTTACAGAGACCAAGTGATTGAAGAGTTTGAAGAAGGAGAACATGATCAACAGTGTCAAAGGCAGCAGAGAGGTCAAGAAGAATTAGTATGGACTTAGCTGCGATTAGGTCATTAGTAACTTTGATAAGAGCAGTCTCAGTAGAGTGGAGGGTGTGGAAGCCAGACTGAAGAGGGTCAAGGAAAGAGTTGGAATTGAGGAAGTGAGCCAGACTGGTAAAGACAAGTCTTTCCAGAAGCTTTGAGGAAAAAGGTAGCAGGGATATGGGACGATAGTTAGAAGGAGAGGACGGGTCAAGAGATTATTTTTTTCAGGATGGGTACTACAGTGGCATGTGAAAGGGCAGCAGGGACAACACCAGAAGAGAGAGAGAGCATTTGAAAATGTGTGTTAAGGAAGGCACAAGACAAGGGGAGAGAGATCTGATAAGGTGAGATGGGAGAGGATCAAGTGGTGTGGCGAGAGGAAAGGAGAAGTGCAGCCAGCTCTTGTTCAGTAGCAGGAGAGAAAGTCTGAAGGGTAGGAAAGGCATGATCTACATGTAGTTGAGAAGGAGAGGGGCAATGTGGGGAGAAATATTTCCTTAGTTGTTCAATCTTGTTGGTAAAGTAGTTTGCAAAGCTATCAGCTTAAAGGTTAGTTTGGGAGAGGGTGGCTACAGAAGAGCAAAGAAGAGAGTTAAAGGTGTCAAAAGACGTCTGGGATTGTGGGAGCATGAACTAATGAAAGAGGAAAAGTATGACTCTTGGGCGAGGGCAAGGGCTGCGCTATATGAACACAATATGAATCTATAATGGAGAAAGTCTGACTTGGTACAAGACTTTCTCCAGGAGCATTCAAAACAATGGGAGCATCTTTGCAGGAAGCGTGTTGATTTAGTGTGCCACGGTTGTGGGGTTGTCCTCCTCGAGGTACATGTTTGGCTGCAGCGTTCAGGGCAAAGGTAAGGGTAGTGTTATATGTGGAGATAGTTAGTGAGGGACAGGAAAGGAGTTGGGAATCAATATCAGCTAACAGCTGCAGGAGGTCAATAGAATTAAGGTACCTCCTGAGTTGAGGGGGGTTAGGCTGAGGTTGTTGGGTGAGGGGGTTCTCGAGAGCAAATGATAAGAGGCGGTCTTTAGAGAGAGGAACTGGAGTATTGCAGGTATTAGACACTGTACATGCAAAAGAGAAAATAAGGTTGAGGGTATTGCCAGCCACATAGGTGGGAGAATTAGCCCACTGGGAAAGCCCAAGGGAGGAAGTAATTAACAGTAGTTTAGAGGCTACTGAGGTCAAGGTGTGAGGATACTTATGGGGTGATAAATATTAAAAATAATATTTTCATAAAAAGTATCAAAAATTTATTTAATAATTTTTATTATATCAAAAATGTAAATATTGGCACTGTTCCCCTTGATTGATTAGAGCTACCCACCAATTTAACTCTTATAGACCCTGGACCCTGATGATGCCTAACAAGGCTGAAAGGATCGTCTGGGGTTGCTGTATCTCTCGTGCAGAGAGAACTTGATGGCATTTCGGATCTGGACTGCCCGTATGGGTGGGACCAGTCTGATGTGTTTCAGATATGTTCTCTCTGTAATGGC